ATGAACTCGTACTTAACTGATTTAGTATACCTTCAATTATTTATGAGTATAACATCGTAAGTCGTTGTAATTATCTTTAAGATTCTCTGTCTCTCTTCCTAAAAACAGGGTTAACGAAAGGGAACTGTGAAACTGCCTTTAATGTTACGTAGAGATTTGTGTGATGCGTAAGCTCCTTGAGCTAAAGATAGATGAATTAAAAAATTTCAATTATAAAAATAATTTTTTTTTTAAGTGCAATTGATCTTTCAAATAAGAAATTTATTTAATAATTCTCGAATTTTCATTCTAATCAAAGAAAATTATGTTTAAGTCAAGAAATTCGAATGTAATTTTTTAAGAGGAAATTGATTTATATTCTGAGAGAAATTTAAAATAAAAATGTAAATACATATTTAACAAAGATAAAATTTAGAAAACTGAAGCGCCGAATTTCCGTAGAAAGAGTAAGTTTATCGAAGTCGTAAATTTAATAAAATCATATTTCTGTGTAAATTCTTTTTTAATTCAACTATCCTTCGTAGGATCAATATATGTGTCTTAAATTAATATAAATTTTGAGATATACGTAGTTATATAAGATTTCGATATTCCTGAAATAAATTTAGTCGTTACGATAATTGTATGTCGTGCGCATTTATGGACCAATAGAAAATCGAGGATTTTATTATGATAACCCATTGCGTTTTCTACTCCGATAGAGCCTCCAAGTTATTTTACATATGTTAGTTCACTTAGCAATTAATGTTATGAAATGTAATGTTAAAAACTTAGAGAAACAGACATTTATTTATATGTCGCTCGTCGGTGTACATGATAATAAAAGTTTTATACGTTTACTCGTATATTTCGCATAATTTATTTATTGTAAAAATATAAATGCCTATAAGAAGTTATAAACATAAATCATACTTATCGAGAGAAATCACATCAGTCCTGCAAGTGAAAGAAACTTAAATCGATATATATTGAATAATGATAAAATTCATCTAAAAAAATAAAAAATATGAATCATCGTAACATAAAAAAATTTACAATCATATATATAATTAATCAATTTCATTTTACATAATTTTTATACTTTTATTTTATTCTTAAAAGCATTTTTTAAAAATATTTCGCAATGATTTTTTAAATTATATATCGTAAGCTTTTAAATATATTTTTTATCAGTTATGCGTTATTTATTTAGATGTATCCATTTTAAAGTAAATAATCATAATCTATTAAAATATAATAATTACTGATCAAAATGTAACTTTTGTTATAATATAAATCTTGATATGTATGTTTCTACAGTATATGTATTACAGTAAATCTCTAAGTATATCGTTAGTACAATAATACAATACAATATCGATAATACAATATTAATCATGCAATAGACGCGGGCAATGGAGTTTATTAATGTCGAGATTTATGAAAAGATTTTGTGTTGATAATATTTCATTAATATCAATCATATCTGACTAGAAAATATTTTAAGGCCACGCTTAGAAATATATATGCAATTCTCGATTAAAGATCGTTGTTCGAGATGAACCTGTTGCCTTCTGAATTCTTGCCAGAATATCGATACTTACATTTACCATATACACCTGGAAGAAAATGTATTACTAGTTTATATTTACTATTTATTTACTTATTATATTTGTTAATATAATGAACAATTTTAAAAAGTAAAAGTTAATGTCAAAAATGTTTTAAAATAATTTCCAATTATAATTTATATAATATTATAATTTATTTCATAATTTGATTTGATTGCTATACGTACCTTTGTGATCTTGAGGATTGCGCACCGAATTCGGCAATGGCGTGTAATGGATGTTGAAGTATATGTCATCAAATTCATTATTGGTTTGCGTTGAACTGGGTACGTACTTGCGAATCAACTCCGGGATGAGCTTGATCGTCTTGGAATATCTACCGCGAGTGTTAGCATTTGATTTCTCCTGCTGAGTAACTCTTCGGGAGTCTAGAAAGCGAAGACTCGGAGGTAAAATGTGGATAGCGTATAGCCTGTAACGCTCGTAATCATCTTCATCGGTAAACGTCGGATTGGTCAATTGATCAGGACAACCGGGATTGCCCAGAAGACTCACGTACTCCACGTTGGGACAACATTCTCGTATTCTATCAAGAGCTTTGTCGATATTGAATATCTAGAAACGAAGTTTATTATTTGACTTCTATATAAAAGAATTCTGTAAAAGTCCTTAGTAACAAATAATGTGTTAAAAAAATTAATAAAAGAATTAAAAATAACTTAAAAATTAAATATTGTTAATAATATTTATATTATTATAATAGTAATTTTTTGTATAAAATTTCACAAATCTTTTTTGAAACTAATTTTCATAAGGATTTCATTACTTTTTTCAATATTTTTGAAGTAGAGCACCTTATTATTATTAAGACTCAGAGTAGTCAAAGTCGGCATATGAGGTAGCGTTTTGAGATTGTCAAGCTTGTTATTGTCCAAGATCAATTCTTGAAGCTGCTCAAAATCCTTTATACCAGAAATAGTTGACAATTCGTTATATGAGAGATCCAAACCGAGACAATCGCGACCAATGACTCTCATCAAACCATTAGGAATCTTTTCTGCTCTTTGTCCCGTATACCATGCCTACGTTATCGATTATAAATATGAAAGTAAGAAAAATATAAAAATAATAATAAGAATGTGTGTGTATAAAGAAAATGAAGAATATGGAAAAAATTGCAATTACTTTCAAAAATCTGCATTTTATAAGATAAATTATCAAATAGATTTTTATTTACAAAATAAATAATATTTTTTAAAATTATTTTCTTCAGATTATTTTCAAATTTCAGTCACTTAAAAATTTAATTGCAAAAAATTACTAATTTTTATTATTTTTAACATTACAATCCGAAGCGCCACTACGGTCTAAGTATTAAGATGTTGAACTAATATATATATTATTCAAACGAATAAATTAATTTCAGAAATAATAATCACGTGTCGATATGGTTGTCGACATTAACGCAATTAATCTGAAATGTAATAATCCCCCCCAAAATTCCCCAATATTTTTAATTTAATAAATGAATTTAAATTTAAGAGAATTTTCATTCTGATTTATAATCCAGTATAAAAATATACTACTAGTGTCATTAGTGCAATAAATTTAACAAATAGTGTCACTAGTAGTGTAACACTACTGGCTCGGCAGTGATATTATTGCGTATCAGTAGTAATATTATTGATATCAACAGTGACATCATTGAATATCAGTAGTGATACTAATGCAGTAGCAGTGATACTAGTGATATATTTTTATGCGGGATACTTAACTTACACAAAAATATTTAATATTAAAAATTAAAATGCTGTCATCAGTGATCTCTTCTCATTAAATATTTGTTTAAAGAAAATAAAGTTTAGAAATCAAGACATTTATATTTACGAAAAAATGCATGATCTTTGATATGCTCTTTATAGCACAAGTGATTCACATACATTAACTGCATAAAAAAAGAAATATAATTGCTACAAATTATTTCAATAAATATAGGATTTATTTTTTCTGATTATACTTTCTACATTTTCTTCACGTTTCTTTTTTTTACATATTTTTTGATTATATATTAAAATTATTATACAAGTATTATATATCGAACTCCATTTATTGTAATAACGAAAAGTACAAAAGAGTGCAACCAAAAAACGTAAATCGGTAGCGTTATCAACCAAAGTGTATCGTGACGTATGCATCGATTAAATGTTATTGTGTGCAATTAAAATTGTAAAACAATTACGTTTACCCGTCCGCTATCGAGTGTCAATGCACTCCTATTGAAGTCTTGCTGACTGTGGCCCGCCATGTTGAACATATGCCACGCAGTGAGAATTATCGCGCAGTTAATAATATAGATAACGCCTTGTGCGTATATGCGTGTATTTAGTGTGTTAGTCAGTATACATAATTACCATAACATTAAAGTTGGATATCTTGTATTTACATCGCTATAAACATATGGCTCGTTGGTCTAGGGGTATGATTCTCGCTTAGGGTGCGAGAGGTCCCGGGTTCAAATCCCGGACGAGCCCTTATTTTTTTTTTAATCATTTAGATTTAAAATTTATGATACAGCTTTAACAATTAAAAATATACATATATTTATATCATTAGAAAATATATTAAAATAAATTTTTATATGGATTCTCGATCTCAACCAAGGAATTTGGCAAATCTATTTTACCGATGAATATAATTGATCTACTGTTAAATTTTTATATCATTAGAATTGAATTCTGAGACAAAAGCAACTGTCTAGCATATGTAGCACATATCACACAATAGCACAAATAACATAAATATAAAACACAAAGTTACTTACTTTTATATTGCAGTAAAATATTAGGTTACTTATTATTAGTGACCTAGTAATTTCATAATTACATTATAAAGTCGTTCAAAGTTCTTTTATTTCTTTTCTTACGTATCGTATGAGACGTACTACTTATTTTCGAAAATGAAGCTTTGCTAGAAAGATTTGCTTTGTACTCTTCAACTTTTGAAGGTCCTTGTTTATTCAATTCATCTTGCCTTAGCTTGTGTGTAGAATCATTCTTTGACGAATCGAGAGGAACATTTCCCTCAATCTTGGAGTCATTAGTGCTACTAAAATGAATAGAAAATGCAATAAATATTTGGTATATTCTTTGTGACATGTCTTATTGTACCTTGCATTGTTTGAAGATACTTCTAGTTTTGTGTGTGACTTTAACAAGGTTATTTCATTATAAAAACGAATCACAGATTGGAAAGTATTTACAAAATTAGTTGATCCAGCAGCATCAGTGTGAAACAATTCTTCATTGAATGGCTTCGTAGCGATATATTCTACATACAAGATACAAATAATGTTTAACTTTCAACTTTAAAATGTGATACCATACTATAACACACTGCAAGAAACGCGTACTTCTAATTAATTTTGCGCCTTCAGCTTTGTATTCCGCTATTTCTTCATCCTTCTGTTTAATCAGATTTAGCAGAATCATGTGCCGGCGAATCAATTCCATCGATGATGAGCAGAAAGGCATAGTCACACTTTCCCAAAATTGTTGTGGCGTTCCTTTGAGAAGATCCAATGAAAATCTCAATTTTACAAATTCTTTGTCTTTTCGTAATTCTATTCGATATGTTGTAACTTCTAAAACGTTTGCATGTACGTATTGAGGAATATCATTTAACATATCCAGTGTCACTTGTTTCCAATCAAAAATTTCAAGATTTAAAAGAGGATTCATAGTCTACAAATTAACACGTTTCATTATATATGAGTATTGCTAATATAATATCTCATTTAGAAAATTGAAAAATATTCTTATTACTTGTAAAATAAATTTCAATCTACATTTTTCTTTCATGATTCACATTTATTGATGAATAAAAAATTTAATTTATATACGTAATACATATTTATGAGATAGAATTGAGACAATTCGTAGTACCTGACATTTATGAAACATAGTTTCGTCTGTCAGAGTCTCCACCCAAATTTCTATTAGATCTGTTAGAAAAACTTTTCTCGATTCATTTTCCTTTATAAAACATATCACATAATCTTTATCATTTATTTTGAGGTTTTTCCAAACTCTGCCCTGCCCATTGTTATAAACCGAAATGATATCAATATCATGATTCTCAATCATAACGGCAAAAAATTAACGAATTTGATGTTTCAAGATTTGATTAGATTATATATTGCACAATGTAGGTTGTCACGTAACCTTTATAATCTCGTTTTGTTCAACTTATTAATACTATTATATTTTTATAATACATTGTTTTTAAAACATATTTTATTATATAATTTAGACATAAATCTATACATTTATACAGATATAAAATTTCAAAAGTATTGTTCTAATGATATTCAAAATTGATAATCATAAAATAAGGTCTGTTTTTTTTTTTCGAAGAATTCTGAACTAGTTCTGAACTAGTGTAATAAGGAGCTTTCCAACAAGCGATACTATGCGACATGACGGTTACCTCATCTATTTTAATATTGGACGAGTTCAAGACGGCAAAGCGGCTAGGCATGCTTATCGAGCGATTGAATATGATTGGTTGGATCTATAAGTAACAACCAATTATGTTCATTTGCTCGGCAAGCAGGCTAGTCTAGTCGCTTCAATTTGAACGTGCCCATTGACTACGTTCAACGAACTCAACAGTTAAGCGCTCGCTACTATTGATGTATTCTTCTAGAACTAAAATGCTGATTAGATAATCTAAAAGAATACATTAATAAGGGGCTCGCACAATAAAAGGAACAAAGAACAGAGAATAAGAATTTCATCTATCAGAAACTGTGTATTCCACATTGCATGATTTCTGATAAGTTGAAATTCTTAATCTCTGTTCTCTGTTCCTTTTATTGTGCGAAGTCCCTAATAGCGAGCGCTCATTAAACTATTGAGTCCGCTGAATACAGCCATTGGCGAAAAACAAGGATGCAATGATCAGGGTTGCCAACTCTCTGAATTTCAAAATTCCGCTAGATGTTTTACCAAAAAATCCAGAAATAAACTAAATTTTACAAAAATACTCTATAAAAGTAAATTATTAAATAAAGTTGAAAAATTCCGGAAATAAGATAAATGACGAAATAAGATAAATACGAAAAACTAAAAATAAGTTATATTTTATAAAAAAAATTCTAAAAATAAGCTTAATTTTACAAAAAAAAACATACAAAATAAATTAAAAATAATAAATCGTTATATGAATTTAGATATCAAATTAGTTTTCTAAATTTAGAAGATTTTTATTTACAAAAAATATATATGTCCTGTACTGGATAAATACTTAAGTTTTAGTTTATAAATAAGTGTAGTGAGCCTATTTTAAGCTAAAGAAACTAACGAATCGGTTGAATAAATGAGACTAAAATATACATATTTATACATATTTATGTAAAATATATTTTTGTATAATAAACGAAAATACATTTTTATATTTTATTTTTATATTTTTTGTGTTTATACAATAAAGTGATATGCACTATAACTATTCGAAATGTAAAAAATGATGTAATTCAAAATTTTTATATTTATGTAGATACGCCTCCTTTGTTTCAATAATATTATTAATGTTTTTTTTTCATTGAGATAATAATTATGACATTTTTTATGTCTTCGTGACCATCGTAAATTATTAAAAAAAAAATCCGCCGTTTCTATTTTCAAAATAATCTAGAAAATCCGTTATCCGTAAGGCCAATATTACATGCGTCCGTTTTTTGTCGTACGATGAATTGTTCAAGCGTGTCAATTGGCTGCACGACAAAGAGGATTTCTTTGTCCTATAGCCAATCGACAAAATTGTCGTACGATAAAAAACAGACGCGTAATATTGGCCTTAGGGTGCTCTTTCATTTGTGCGTTTTTGTCGTACGACAAATGTGTACAGGACAAAGAGATCCTCAGATCTCTCTAGCCAATCAATAGGCTTGAAAAATTTGTCGTACGACAAAAACGCACAAATAAAATAGCACCCCAACTGATATGAAAATATGCTAAATCTATTGGAAAAAACGCTAAGCTAGCAATATTAGTAACGATTCACCGTAGAGAGAATCAAAAGAAAGTGGAGCGATAGTGTTCTCTTTTCTGATTGGTTCTGCCATTTTCAGTTCATTTCTGCAAATATGTATATGTGTATATGTATGTACAGCCGGTCACAGAAAGGTTGCAACACTTTTTTTTTGATGCGTTTTGGAATGCAACTTGCTCAGCAATTGATTCTTATTAAATTCCCGATGGGAATTCATTATTCCGACATGTTCCATGATAGGTTCCCAGTTAGCGCTTACAGTGATTAGCGCTTACAGTTAGTGATTCTTTAATATGATTAGTTTCTTACATTTAGATTTAAAGAACAACTAAAGGCAACAATCAATGGGCGCATTCAACGAACTCAACAGTTGAATGAACACTTGCTGTTATTGGTGTATTCTTTTAGAATTTTAGATCATCCAATCAGCATTTTAGATCTGGAAAAATACATAGCAGCGAGTGCTTACTCAACTGTTGAGTCCGCTGAACGCAGCCAATAATATTAAAGAATCACTAAGTGCTAAGTGATTAGTTTTTCTCTGTTGAACCAGCCATTAGCTGTTAGAAATGTACGCGCAAGAGCACACCTAACTTTCTTCTATTATGGATACGATGATCATATTTTCTTAAAAAAAATAAAAGACAAATCTGAAAATTTTAAAGCTTTGTTCCTACATATTAGGGAGTTTTTGCAATAGCGTTTATTCAGATATGGTAAACGCTAAGGTCATATTATCTTCTTCTTAATAACTAAAGAAAAGGGTAATGCGATTTTAGCGTACCGTATCTGGATTCACATTATTGCAAAAACTCCTTATTTTCAAACCAGTAATTGTCAAAAATCTACATTATTGTGCCAGTTAATGTTTTTGTAAAAATGGAAAAAGTAGAATATCGGCGGTTGCCATGACAAAAATTTATGATAGCTACGAACTACGAGTTACAATTACGAGCTTTGCAAGCAAAAGCTTTCTCTCTATCAATACCTTTGAGTTGTCCAGAAGAAAATTGTTTGTTTTGAGGTCCTGAATTCATATTTTAAATTTGGCGATTTAATCAAGGAACATCTTGAGGTGCGTTCAAAAACTTGGCTCTGTCAATTCCGAGTATCCTTTATTCAACATTTAATGATCAACAAGGATAAAATAATACTCGACAGAATTGAATTTTGGAACGTAATCCTGTATATCGATTGGAATTATTGCACTTGTGCATGTTTGATTGATGCCACATCAATCGTACTTTAATCGACACATCGAAATGAAATAGCTAAAATAATATAATAATTACACTTCATTATACTATAATATTTAAATCTCCTTTTTATCCTTTTTTATCCTTACATTTTTTTATATTTGTTTTATATGAATATTAAATTAATCGATCAGTCTTTTTGTGATAGGTCGATATTTCGAGAATAATGATTCTCAAATAGCTTAAACTTTAACTTATAACATCCTACTCAAAATTATAGAGTAAATTAAAAATTTCAAAAGTGTATATTTTTATAATTTAAAATGAGAAATTACTATTTAATAAATATTATATTTATTTTAATAATAAACGTAAAATATTTCATAAAAATATATTATTATATTTACATTTTATATATTTCGTGTGTTGTTGAAAATATAATATTGTAACTTATACAAAAGTCAATCACTAATAAAACAAATATTAAAAAATGACAAAAATATATAATACAAAATAATTTAATATAAAATATAATCATAATTTATCAGATCCGTCTTTGAATCCGGCTTTCTCCGATTGCGTGTCAAATCTCTGCGATTGACTGCTCGTCGCAACTCGGAAGTGTTAACGGTAAACGCACTTTTGGATCTATAATTTTTTGGTTTGGATATTTCCTGCCAATTAGTGAACACCAGAGGATTGCATTTGCTTGCGTAAAAGCATTTACAAGATCTATCCATTGCACGATCCTCGCACAATTTACCAGAGAGCGGGAAATTTTCGGTTTTATTTAAACGAGCCTTCGACGCATTACTAGATACTTTCTCTCTTTTCATTATCAGATAATTACGAAGCAACACGCCACTGCATTTCGACGAGAGTTCAAGAAATCTTTTCGTGAAAGCTTTATTAAACTCTACCCATCGCTTTTCCGTATTATTTCCTATGAAGAAATGTACGATTTACGTTTTATAACAATAAAGAGTTTTATATGTTAAAATAAATAATTAATTATTTATTATTAATATTAATTATTTAATTATTAATAATTCTTATTCTTATTTATAAAATAAATAAAAGATGTGCAAAAAGATTTTTTAATAACCGGTTTTAATTTTAATTATTAAATAGGTCGTTAAATTCTTAAGATTATTAAAGCTATATACAAGTATATATATTTAATATACTTTAAGCAGAATACACATTCTAAAATATACGTTCTAATCTAATTAATGTATATACATATATATATATGTATATATATATATATTTAAATTAAAATTTGTTTTAAAAATTAATTCAAATTAAATTAAAATGTTAAATTTTATACCAATTTTTTAAGGAGTTGCTCTTTTCTTCTGCATCTCGATGATAAATTATTCAAAATATCCTTAGTATACATATTTAGTTTTTTTGTAATATTCGACAATTCATTGTATTCGAGTTTAAGCTGTTTAATAAGATAGTTTTCAACCCCTGAAATTGATATATCAGACTCGACTGTATTTTTGTTTAAAAGGTTGCAGGATATGCCTACATCTTTCACCAGAACAACATCTTGAAAGCCGTCTGTTCTATAATGAATTCTATAATTAATCTTCCTTCAATTATAAACTTCTCAATAAAATGAAACAAAAAATAATAATAATAATATGATGAATAAATTAACTTTACTAATATTTGCAAAAACCAAAAGTAACAATTTTAATTACAATTTTTTAATTAAAATTAATAAAAATACATTCTATCACTATTCTCACATTTTGTGTTATATTAATAAAAATTAATGTTTTACATTAATAAAAAGATCAAATCAATACCTGTAATAGGAAAATCCGCAATAATCTACTTCACTTTCAATATTGCACGGCTTTCGCAAAGGACTATCGCCTCCATAATCCCTCGCGACATTAATCAAATCCGATGGTACTATTGAAGCATGTCGAATAATCCGATTCTTATCTCGTCGCGAAAGGAAAGTTTTTGAATCCCTCGTCCCGGAAATCATCGAGTATTTTCTCCTTGACGGCATA